GCCTCAGCTGAGCTCCTGGCCAACACCCAGCATCATCTGCCATGTGATGAGCCATTGTGGATGTCCAACCCAGTCCAGCCTTCAGATGACACCACCCCAGCTGCTATCCAACTACAACCTCTTGAGAGACCCCAAGTGAGAACCACCCAGCTGAGCCCAGTCAACCCATGGGATACTGAGAGAGAAGAATAAATTGTTGTTTTAAGCCACTGAGTTTGAAGATGGTTTGTTGCACAGCAACAAATAATAGGACCACTCCCCATTGAAGTATTTAGGACCCTCAGGTTTTCTTGGGGCATTAAATAAAATTGCGATTGTTCCTTCAACCGCCCTGGTCCTGAGATGGGGTCAAGGAACAATCCCTTGTATCATAGTTTTTCTGATAACTCAAATATCTTTTGAAGATAGCTGAGTGTTTTTATAGATAGCTGCTTCTTGTGAATCTGGCTTTCTTGTTCTCAGTTTGGGAGATTTCCTCCATGCTCTTTAGTTGGGAGATCAACTGGAATGACAGACTCCCTTGGAGAGCCACCTGTCTTTGCTATATGTTGGTTTGGGCCGCTCACTGGGAGGCAGAATTTGATGAGGATCAGTGGACACAGAAGAGAAATTAGAGTTAGAAAAAAGCATCCAGCTAGCGATTAGAAAATACTGTCAGTATAAGGTCACACCATCCACATCATTATACACATCCTATTGATTTCCTCTTAGCGTTAAATACTTGCTGTGTGAAAAGCACTATGATGAATACAAAGACACGTGATATGTGATCTCTTCCATCAGAGAGCTCACAAGATAGCCTGGAGAGACAATGACATAAACCCTTAAGAAGCTAAATGATGGTATAAAACCATAATTAGAAATATGTCATAAGGAAGCCTTCCTACACCATGGATGGAAATAAAGGAGCTGTGAGTTCCATGGATTATTTGTTTGAGTTGGGCCAAGGGAAAATTATTGACCTGGTCACCTGGGGATGGATGTTCAGAGATATTTTACTTTTCAGAATTATTTTATAACCGCAGGGACCATTCCGTGGTAGCAATATGTTCAAATCTGATCTTAAACCTTAAAGGGATGTTGCTTGGAAATAACCGATACAAGAAAGACAAATATAGAAAAGTTGTATCCAAGAAGCTTTTAATAGAATAGATCCCAATGACCAGATGTTCTAGAAGAAAAGGAGCAGATGTGAAGTGTCCAGATACAGAAATAGGATTGTGAATAATGGATAATTGAAAGAACCCAGAGGTACTAGTTTGAATAATGTCACCTAAAAATTCAGAATCCCAGAATGTGACTTTATTTGAAACAGGACCATTAAAGATGCAATTAGTTAAGATGACAAGGTCATCCTCGGGTAGAGTAAGCTCTTAATCCATATGACTGGTGTCTTTATAAAAAGAGAAAACAGAGACACAGGCACACACAGAGTAAATGTCTAATGAAAAACCAGATACAGAGGGAGAACACCATGTGATAATGGAGGCAGAGACTGGAGTAATGTATGAGCAAGCCAAGGAATGCCAAGGATTGCTGGCAACATCAGAAGCTAAGAGGAAGGCATGGAACATATTCTCCCCTAGAGCCTTCAGAGAGAGAGCGGCCCAGTTAACACCTTGATTTCAGATTTCTAGCCTCCAGAACTGTGAGAGAATAAATTTCTATTTTAAGCCACCCAGTTTGTTGGTACTTCGTTGTGGCCACCCTAGGAAACTACCACACCAGGGTATCCTGTTTCTCCAGACCTCCTTGTTTCTGCTGAAGGCTGAGCTTGCAGCTTTCTGGATGTCCCGACCTCTGTCCTAGGCCTCCGATTCTGCCTCTACTGTGACACCCCAGGCTTTCTGGCTTACCCTCAAAATGGCCCTTATCCCACTCCTGCCACCACCAAGGAACCTGGCAGGATGAATGCGGTCTCGCTGCTTGGGTACCAGAAAGTGGTGACGCTAGTGGTAGGTGTGTGTCCATAAGGCAGTCACTGCAGTGACCAAGCAACTTTCCACACCTGGCTCTCTGGGCACAGCCTTCGATTGGGGTGCAGCTGCCACCAGCACCATCCCTGCAGAGCCCTGCAACTTTGGTGGCAAAGAGCAGATAGCTGAGCCCATTCCAGGTCACAGCATGACACTGGCAGAAAGAGATGCTTTCCTGCAACTCTCTGGGTCCTATATTTGCTGCTAGCCTCAACCCCAGGGGGGATTTCTCTATTAACAGCATTTTTTTGTGCCCTGGAAAGCTATTGAATTTGATTGGTTCTGTGGCTTGAGTTTGAGAGAATTCAGGATCTGTCTTCTTGGCTCGTTGCAGAAGGCCCAGCCTGGCACTTTGGAAGAGATCTTTCATGGAGTTCCCCATTGTTTGACCTGGTAGGCTTAGTCTTCCACTGTCACCCTATTGAGCTATCCCTAGAGATTCGCAAGAGCCTCCCCAAGCCCTGAGGACAAGCCCCAGAATTAGAAGATCCTGCAGGTAATGATTACACCTAGCGGTGCAGCAATAGAAGAGATGGGTTTGAATCACTTCATTCCAGAACTGTGATTTCCAATACAGGAGCCACTAGCCACATGTAGCCCCTTAAATTTAAGCTGTAATTATTTAAAATTAAGTAAAATTTAAAATTCAGTTCCTCAGTCACACTAGCCACATTTCAAGGACTCAATAGCCACATGTGGCTGGTGGCTACCATATTGGAGCACAGATATGGAATCCTTCCATCATCGCAGAAAGTTCTATCAGGTAGCACTGGTCTAGAGCTATTTGTTTTCCAAACCTTTCCACACATGTGCTCTCTTCCCCTTTTTTACTAAGTGTAGTTTCCTGAGATAAATATTGAGAATATGTCAACTCCATAACACAAAGAAACATCATTTTATTCACTTAATGTCTGTTAGAGATAATAAAAAGTTTGTGTCCATTTTTAAAAAGAGGGGGAATACTTGGATGTGATCACTGTACCCTACACTACAGAGCAGCGCTCACAGCACTCGTGTTTGCAGATGAAATGTACCTTCCTTGCATCATTTGTTGACGCTACTGTGCAGTGATTCTGAGCCCTGTGGGCAGGAGCCTTTGCGAACCAATGTGGCTAGCTTTCATTCCACACCTACACACTTTCTATCTCCACCTTCTGTCCTTGGCAACAGAGCTGCATTGGGAGAATAACCCAAATTTGGTTGTGGGGAGCGGAGAGACGGCTACTGTTGAGCTCCTGCAAAAAGCCTGAGTGCGACCATTGAAAATGAATGGAATATTATGCTATTTTCTCCTCCAGTTTCTATAATTTTCTTGTATCAAGCCGGATGACAATGAAACTATGTACTTCATTATTTGGCTCTCCATAAAAATAACTTCACCACATCCTAGAATTTAAAATTATGCTTCTGGCTTTTGTTGAAAGTAGCTGTATGTAAAAGTTTCCTGCACTTTTTGTTGTAAGAAAAGTATCAGAAACATCATTTATTGTGTTTCAGTGCCTCTTATGTTAAAGACTTGTGAGATAATTCCTCTTATAATTCAATACCAGAGCAAAAGTTGTCTTTACTGGCGAACATAAGCTAGCTCTTTCGAATGTTGAGAGTTATGTAATCCATTCAAATCTCTTTTTGTCTTGGCTCCAAGGAAGCTCTCAAAAATTTTTTGTTCACTTGCAGCAGTTTCCCTAGCCTAGATTTTCTGGTATAATAATCATCCCCTACCACGACTTGTCATCACTTGTTCTTATTATTATATTTAAGAGTTTTGGGTTTTTGTTATTGTTCTGTTTTAGTAATTGTATTCTTGCAAACCTCCTCTTCTTTTTGGACATAAATTAAACATCAATTTATCAATGAATATCAAAAAAAGAGGGGAAATAAATATTGCTAGGCCAGTGCTCCTCAGAGTTTAATGTGCACTTAAATCACCCAGGGATCTTGTTAAGCTGTGGATTCCAGTTCCACGTGTCTGAGGTGGGGCCTGAGATTCCACTGCTGGTCCACAGACCACCGTGTGAGAGGGAGATGGCAGTGTGTAGCTTGTGAACTAGCACCCAATTGCTGCTAGAAGGAGTCAGAGGAATAAATACAGCAAGTGAACTGTAAACGGAAAGGACAGAAGCTGAAGGAAATATTCTCATCTTCCAACACAAAATGAATAAGAGCAATTCCCCATCCCCCTCTCCCCCATGCTTTGGTTTGGAGAGGGTCCCATGGGTGTGAGGCAGCACAGCAGAGCTAAGAGCTGCACTCCGGAGCCACACTGTCTGACCTAGAGTCTCCACTCCATCCCTTCCTAGTGTGTCTTTGGGCAAATTGTCACTAGGCCTCAGTTTCCCTATCTGCAAAATGGGGCCAATACTAGTACCTTTTTCAGAGTAGTTTCAAGGACTCAGTGAATTAACAGATGTGAAGTGCTGGGAACAACGCCTAGGCCATCATAAACACTGTGCGGGTGGCGGTTAAATCAGTGAGTGAATTCAGCATTCTGCTTCTAAACAACTGAATAAGGTTTATCCTGGATGAGTGGATGCATTTCTGACCGACTGGATCTAAACTGGACTCTGTTTTTCCCCTGTGGGTTGAGGAAGGGGCAGGAGGGGGGGCTACACCTTTGATGAAAGGTCAGATTCACAAGGCATCCTCTTTATTTTTTTTTAAGTGAAAAAAATGATGGCCTTAAGAGTTGGACTTGTAACTGACAGGGTGGCCCAGGGAAGCCGAGTCAGTGGGGTTGTTGTAGTTCCTGCAGAGCAGCCACTTGGCGGGCATCCTGGTGACCCTCAGTTAAATGTGGCCCCCTTCCAATACCTTCTTTAAAGAGACTTTTTACTGTTGGCTAGTGCTGGTGCACAAAAGTCTGCATTTGGGATTTGTGCAGGTTTTATGGAATCTGTCACTTAAATGTGAGACATTTCCCTTTGGCCCGTGGCAGCAAAATAAATTTGAGTTGCTGAAGAGAATATGACACAGGTTTTTGCCTGGTATTGATCACCTTTTAAACCTTTGTTCCCCCTCCCAAAGCAAAGAGCCCAGCCAGCACCGAGTAAAGAGATGGGGCTTCTCTTTCGACGAGATATTGAAGGACCAGGTGGGGCGGGACCAGTTTCTACGATTTCTGGAGTCGGAATTCAGTTCCGAAAACCTCAGGTAAATCTCTCCAAGGTTTGAGTTGTGTGCAGAGTGTATATGAAGAAATGTGTATCCCTCTTTCCACCTCCCTTTGTCAATCAGATGTTATGGTTCAGATTCCAATTCCAGTTAATCTGGCTGAGGTTGACACAGAGAACAAACTTTATGTGCAGATTAGCACTGACCAATACCAGCATTTGTTGTGCTTTAAGTCCAGATGTCATGTTTTCAAGTTATTGGAAACATGTCTCCAATAATAAGTCAATGGTCAAATGGATTTAATGACGCTGTCCATTAACTAAAACCATAAAACCATGGAAATCCACAGTGGAAAGTCAGTTCAGAGACCATCCCCTTCAAAACTTCCCAGTCCAGGGTCCTGAATACTAGACAGGCTAACCAGAAGAAAGAATGGTCAGCAGGCTCATTTCAGAATTTCAGAAAGCCAAAGTAAATATCATTCAAGACCTGGAGACATAACTGTAAAAGCTAATTAAAACATGCTTCTCCTTTTGGGAGGAATTCTAGCAACTTCGTGTAGTGGTTACTCTCGTCACTTGATGCCCTTGAGAACATCTGATTGTTTCTATTGAGCTACGACTAATCAAGATGAGGGGAAACGTCTAATGTGCTTACAGTTACTGTTTAGTAGAAAAAATGAAAACTTTCAAAACATGGGGCCCATTGTAAGTGAAAGGAAAGGGAGCACATTAAAAGGGGCAGATATCATGGTCATGAAAAATCTGGTAATGTGGTTTACAGGCTTTCACTGTATTAGATGTCGAAACAGAGACGCATAGAAAATGTGACTTATCTAAGACCCTTACTGATCTTAGCCAAATGGTGTCTTCTCAGTGGATTAGATGGAAATCTCAGTGTTTTCTTGGCCCCAAGCTCTCTTTTATATACAAGTTTAATTCCCATCTTCCAATGGCATTTTTCCAAAGAGTGGCTTAATAAATTTTTTATTTTTTTACTTTAAAAAGAGCATATGCTGTGGGCAAAGGACTGTCTGCTCCAGTGTCAATGTGCAAACTCCATGTTATTTATTTAGAGTTAGAGACCATGTCGGTCCCATATGTCCACCAAATGATGTTTATTACACACCTATCCTGTACCCAGCCCCCAAGAGTCTGCTGAGGGATGCGAGAAAGTCAAGATGCGTGATCTTTGCCTGCAACGACTTCGTAGGTCCTTGAGGAAAAGACACAAGAAACTCTTAAGTCATTAAATGAATAGAAATGAGTGTAAACTCTAAGAACCTTTTTTTTTTTTTAAATGTTGAGCCGCCTTTTAATGTATTCATTTTTTTTATTTTTGGCTGTGTTGGGTCTTCGTTTCTGTGTGAGGGTTTTCTCTAGTTGTGGCAAGCGGGGGCCACTCTTCATCGCGGTGCGCGGGCCTCTCACTGTCGCGGCCTCTCGTTGCAGAGCACAGGCTCCAGACGCGCAGGCTCAGTAGTCATGGCACACGGGCCTAGTTGCTCCGCGGCATGTGGGATCTTCCCAGACCAGGGCTCGAACCCGTGTCCCCTGCATTGGCAGGCAGATTCTCAACCACTGCGCCACCAGGGAAGCCCTCTAAGAACCATTCTGGAAGTGTTTTAAAAAGGGACAGATGAGTGTAAACCAGGGTAGGCAAATCATAAGCTGGACTTTGAAGAGTGTACAAGATATTGACATAGACAAGAAAGAGGGAGGGGGAGTGTTCTACACTGGAAGACCCTGAGACCAAAGATGTGGCAGGGGGACCCTCCCACACCACGAAGTCCTGGGAGGACGTGTAGATGCCGATTAACTGTAACAGCGATGACTTTCCAGGCAGCCATGTGCCTGCTGTAAACCAGATAAGGTTGAATATCTGATTTCAGGTTATGACACAAAAGAGTTCTCTCCTTGTGCTGAGGGGTTGTACTAAACACATCTCAGAGTTGCGCTTCAGTTCCTTATTGAGTATTCATGACAGTGGACTTGACTCTAAAGCTCTTTATCGGGACGGTGCTCAGACCAGCCTCCCAGGCTGTGCCTGCGGGTGGGTCCTGCGTGGGAAGCCACGCCCCCTGTGGCCACCATCATGCACCCAGGCAGACTCTGTGTGGCCAGTTCAACCCCAGGTCCTACCCCCAGCTTGGTCCCCATGAGCAACCCCTGGGAGCCCTTTCCACGTCCCCTTCTCATCCCTGTCCCCCAGGTCCCCAAGATGGAGCGGTATAGAGGCCCCCTTTACCTGACTATTTCTCAGCCACCTGCACCACTGCAGAGACTTTGAGGGATGGCCACAGGGTGCTGGTCCTCGTGAGGGGCCCCAGGGTGGGAGCACCTGCTGACTCAGCACTGCCTCGCCCAGTCCGAGCATATCCAGGGCCACGAAATCCGCTGTGCATTTCAGGCCGGGAGTGCACGGAGGAGTGTGTCCCTGGCAGGTGTGCAGCACCTCATCCTGCTTTACCTCCTGCACCAGCGCCTTTTGCTCCTGCGCCAGGAGGGCTCTGTTCAGTCCTGGCCGAGAGAATGCGTGTGAGCGCACGTGAGCGTGCCAGGGACTAATCTCCACCCCCAGCGTGGATGCATAAATCCAGACTTAAAGAGGGTCCCCTCTGATCCGTGACAGGAGAGCGGATAAAGGAAATAGAACAGCTGGAGATAAAAAGTATAGCCCAAGAGCTTCTAAAATCCTCTCTGCAAGCCCAGACTCTACTTTTATGATATTCAGCGTAATTGGATATATGGGGGGAAGCTTGGTTTGAAATCACACAACGTTAGGACTCTTCGGTCATCAGAACCAGGACCTCCCTCCCTTCCCTTTGCAGTTGTTCCTGTGGCCACAGATATTGGCCTGGCGCCCACCGTGACTCAGGTCCTGAGGGCACAGAGCTGAATGCGTTTCACCCCTTGTCCAGGGCGGCCACAAGCAGCCCTGCAGGTGCATCTCTGCTGTTGGTCCCTGTGAAGGGCGGTCCCTAGAGCCGTGCCATGCGGCACAACATGAGGACCCTGCTCATCCGTGGTGTTGGCCACCCCGGGGTTGTCCTTTCTCCCCAGGACTGGCCAAGCCCAGGCATCTGGCACTGGAGCAGGGGAGGAAAAGAGAGACTGACCAGAACTCAACTGGATACACTGCAAAGGCCTCTCCACATCTGTCCTCCCACACTCCCTTGCATCTCTCCAGTGAAAGGGGTATTTAGAGCAAGACATTTCTGCAGGACACCTAGAAAAATTTTGTCAGTTAAGTAACCAAGTGGTTCAAACTATACCAGAGCTTCAGAATACAGAGCAGAGGAGCTCCAAAGAGACATAGGTATTGCTCTCACCACAGTGAAAGGTCACCCTGGATCCTTTAAGGAAAGATGCCTTACATATGTGATCATACGGTGTAAGTTGACGTCCCTTTTCATCATTTTTCTTTGGGGTGAGCCTGTGAGATGAGGGAGGGGCGGCATCTCCAGGCACTTGAGGGGGCACGACCAGCGCATTTTGCTGCAGACAGCACAGCATGTGATTGTATGCTCTCTGCAGCACCCTGGGCCGAGCCGGGGGCTCCGTTCGGTGGGCCCCCCTGGAGACAGCTGTTTGCTCAGGGCCTCTAGAATGCCTCCAAGGTGGGGCCTCCCAGTGCTGAAGCAGGGAGTCCCAGAGAGTGACCTGGTCCCTCTCTTTTCTCTGTGTGTTTTCCTAGAAGGGTGACAGGAGCCCCTTGCCACCTTTGCCCCCCTCCATCTCCCCTGCACAGATCTCTGTCCTGCCTGGCTTGACACCCACTGCCGCTCAGCAGGGCACAAGTTAAAAATCAAAACCTGCTGCAAAGAGCATCCGTCCCCTGTACGTTTTTCACGAGCTGTAACTCTCCTGAGAGAATGTGGTTGTTCTTCTAACCTGCAGATTGATTACCCCTGTTCCACACAGTGTCAGCTGAAGGGAGAAGCAATTAAAGAGCGCGCAGGAGAGTCGCCAGGTTGGCCTGGAGCGCTGCCATCTCCCGCAGTTGCCCCGAGTCATGGGAAGACCTCGGAAGGTTGGCCAGGCCTGGCAGTGTTCCCCACGAAGCAAACACATGGTTAATGGGAACAGAGGTGCTGACACAACACTGGGACAATCTGTGGCATTTCAGCCACTGCCTGGCGAACATCACTCGGCTTCCGTGGTGCTGCTGGTGGTGGGGTTCCAGCCCAACCAGAGACTAAGTCAAGTGGCGTCCGTTGTGCCCGAGTCTCTGTTGACCAGCAGAGGGCACAGAAACCCTTCCTTCTGCATGGAGTTGGCTTTTCCCTGGGAACGAACTAAAAGCTGAATTTTTCTAATCCATGAAAATCTTAGTTGATGAAAAGATAGCTAAACGAGGAACTAAGGGCTGCCCAGACCTCCTGATAGGATGGAGAGCGTCCAGCTGCTGCGTGGTTCCCCTTGTTGCAGCCAGCCTTGGCGAGGAAACCCCATTGCCTGTCAGCACCCCAGCCCTGCAGGAGATAGGAGGCCCCCTGAGGCAGCCCCTGACCGCCCTCAAGTCCCATCCCCTCCTGCTCGGCGCCGGGGGTGTCTGAGCCCAGGCTGCCTCCCCGCGAAGGCCAGTTGCCACCTGCATTCCTAAGCCAATGACGCAGATCACATGCCGGCATAGGGCTGGCTTCCCCACCTTGCCGACTCCCGCAAAGCAGGACAGGTGGTCTCCCTGATACCCACGTGTCCTCGTGGCCTACCAGTCATGACAGACCTTCTGCCGCAAGAAGCCACGGAGGCTTAGGGCAGGGTGGGCACTAATCCGCCGCCACTGGCACCCTCCTCCCTGCTGGTGTCCTGGAGGAGCAGCGGTACCTGCAGGCATTTGATAAGAGCAGAAGCTGCGCAGGCCTCAGCGGGCCTCCCATCCTCAGTAGATGGGGGAGGGGAGCTTCAGGGCCTCTTGCAAGGGGTGGGGGACCAGGCATCCGGGGATCAGAGCCCCCAGCTCAGGCCCGTGGGCTCAGAGATGACAAATACAAAGCAAGCCTGTTCTGAATTTCTAATTGACACAAAGGTTCCTCGAAGCCAGTGATGGTAAACACATATGGGATGTCAGGATGCTTTTGTGATAGCATTTTTTTTTTTTTTTTTGCGGTATGCGGGCCTCTCACTGTCGTGGCCTCTCCCGTTGCGGAGCACAGGCTCCGGACGCGCAGGCTCAGCAGCCATGGCTCACGGGCCCAGCCGCTCCGCAGCACGTGGGATCCTCCCGGACCGGGGCACGAACCCATGTCCCCTGCATCGGCAGGCGGACTCCCAACCACTGCGCCACCAGGGAAGCCCCTGTGATAGCATTTTTGCTGTCGCCTGAGAGGGATGAGACAGGTCATCTCCAAGGCAGACAGAGGGCTGAGCTGGTCCCCGTGCGCGCAGGGAGAGGAAGCTGCTGTCTAGGGAATGTCATCCCCGCCCCTCCCCTTCCTGTTCTTTCCTGTCCTCCAGCATGCCTGTTGTTTCTTTTTATGCTTTTTTTCTTCTTGGTTTTATCTGGTAAAGGGAACCTTTTAATTTTTTATGTAAAAGTTTGTTAAATTTGATTCCGAAATTTCCAGACCTTCTCTATACCCAGCTGAGCGATGTGCATTAATGTGGCTCCCAAGTCATTCTGCCAAAGGGACGCTGAGGCCTCAGGGGCCACGGGGAGCCTGCAGCGCTCAGAAGCTGCTGGGGCCTCAGGGCCTCCCCAGAGCTGCTCCTCAGAGCAGACTGGAACAAGGGACAGAAGGGGACGCCCACATGACAGTGACTGAGGGGGGCAGGAAATCTCCCAGGTGTCATCATTTGTGTGAGAAATTGCCGGGTCTGGTGGTCTTGGGAAGGACACTGGCCCGGAGAAGTTGCTCCCAGCCCAGACCTCAGCCCGAGGTGGCTCCCTGGGGCTGCAGAGGACTCAGCGAGCTGCCCGTTAGCCCTCCTTCCAGTCCTCTGAAAAACCAACACCAGTTCCTTTCTTTAGGACTGGTTTCCTAAATTTCACCTGCCCATCAAACACGGTCCTCCAGGAGAAGAAAACCTTACAGGTACTGTCATCGCCAGATGACCATTTTCACCTTTAAATACTTGGCCACCTCCTTCATTTCATGGCAGACCTAGTGGGGGGACAGAGAGACCCGAGGAACCTAGGGAACGTCCAGGGGGATGGAGGAGACCCACTCCCAGCTGAGTTTCAAAGACCCATCTGAACAATTGGACAGTTAACAGCCCCCTTCAAACTCTACCCCCTGCCCACCAGACTCCGGTTAAAGAGCCACTGGTTTCCCTCTCCCTGCATAGCCAGAGGACGTGAGCACCAAAGACCTGGGGCAGAAAGACAGAGGGCTGGTGTTGAAGGGCAGGTGATGGCAGATGGCAGTGGCAGGAACCCCAGGCACCTTGCACCCAGGCCACCCGAGGAAGAGGTGAGCTCTGAGGGATCAGAGTGGCCCAGGATTGAGCCTGTGGCCGCCCTGCAGCTCCCTCCACGGCTCCCACCCACAGGGCCTGAAAGCATTTCAGAGTTACACCAGATAGGAAGTGCTCAGACCAGACCTGTCTCACGTACCCCTCCACCTGCTTTGTACCCTCTGTGCCATGAGGAGAGAGATGCCCAGAAAGATACAGCAATTCCGAGACAGCAGCACAGCGGGGATGAGAACTTCCTTATCTTCTGGTCGAGTGAAGTGATTGTCTCCTTCCCCGCCTCTCGCTCTTCAGGACCAGCGAGGGAACCATGAGGGTTTTCTTCAGGGAGATCGTTAGAATCACTAATGGCAAATCAGGGGGAGAGTTGGAGCTCACAGAGCTTGTGTCACACACGGATACACACACACTCTCTCCAGTCTTCTGTCCTTGTGTAAATGGAGCTGCATTACCTGAGTTGGCCACTGGGTGGCACCTTTAGGCCATGCACTTGACTACACAGACGTTTCTCTGGAGAGCAACAGAAAAATATGCTTACCCTTTAAAAAACAGAGTACATCTTACTGTGGGTGAAATTCGATGACAGATTGAATGCACCTTCTTTCATGTCGTGGTTCAGCTTCTCTTGTCCCTGCCCTTTTGTTGGCTTGAGTAGGTGTGATACCCGTGGCTGTGGGAACCACATGGCCAGGAGCCTGTCCTCATGTCTCGTTGATGGGGAAACTGGACTCTGTTGTTCACAGGGCATGAAATGTGCCACCCAGACCTGAGTCCTGCTGAAAGCCCTCTCCAGGGATACCTCGGGAACCGTCCTCATGACCTAGGGAGCTGTTGTCCGAGCTTTGGCCCTGGCTACTGTCACTCTCAGCAGAAAAGAGCTCACAGCTCGCGCCCACCTCTCTAACACCATGCTGCTGCTGAGGGATTTGTGAGAGGCAAATATGGATGTGAGCACGAGGTTTTTCTCTCCAGTGATCCCTGGAGACTCTTTTAGTAGAGAGGTTCCCCACGTATGTCCCTTCAGCTTTGTTCCAGACGAGCCCATCTGCATTCCAACAGACATTTATTGAGCACCTACTATATGCCAAGCACCATGCCTGATACTGATGTTGCAAACAGGCTCGGTTTCTCCATCTATAATATGAATGACTGGGTCCTTCCAGTTCAAATATTCTTAATGACGCCCAGATTCTATCTGCTTCTTTGACCTCTCCTTCATTTGGATGCCGCCACATCCCAACCAGATATGGCAAAGGGACTCACATTGTCTGTGGCGTGGCATCTAGGTCAAGTGGTAGTTCTCAGCCAGGGGTGATTTTATCTCCCAGAAGACATTTGGTAATGTCCAGAAATTTTCTGGTTGTCACAACTGGGGAGGGGATGCCACTGGCATCTTATGGTTCGAAGCCAAGATTGCTGCTAAATCTCTTTCAATGAACAAGGCAGCGTTCACAACAAAGAATTATCCAGCCCAAAATGGCAATAGTGCCGAGGCTGAGAAACCTTGATGTAGAGGGAGAGAAATCTCTTTTTGGTAATCAGGAGCACAGTGATCTTCTCACATGCATTTAGTGCAATAATGGAACGCCTTTGTATTCTCAGCAGGCCCTGCGGCCTTCGTGATGTGTGAAGTGGCCACTGGGAAGGCTTGGGGATGCAGCAGAATGAATGCCATGGGAGGTCAGTTCTGGGACCATGTCCAGCAGAGCAGCTATTGACTAAGCCCATGGAACAGACTGTCTTTGTGCTTCCATTTCAGGTTCTGGTTGGCTGTCCAAGATCTCAAGAAACAACCCCTACAAGATGTGGCCAAGAGGGTGGAAGAAATCTGGCAAGAGTTTCTGGCCCCCGGAGCCCCAAGTGCAATCAATCTGGATTCTCACAGCTACGAGATAACCAGTCAAAACGTCAAAGATGGAGGGAGATACACATTCGAAGATGCCCAGGTTTGCTTATCTAGTCGAATAGTTCTGTCCCAAGATGTTCACTTTTCCACTCCACCACCCCACCCTTTAACACACATCCAAGGCATTGTATGTAGTCACAATTTCAGGTTTTGTTATTTATAAGGCCATCAGTGGAGACCATTCCAGGTAGGTGCACAAAAAAATTCCAGGAGGATTGTTTTCCTAGATGAGTTACGTTGTTCAATAGAAATAGAAATTTACCATTACACGTGGTATCTTTTCCAGGAAAACCTCGGAGTGTTTTACAAAACCTGAAGTTCTGTAATAAGTCATAGTAGAATCTGGACACCATAGCACAACATTGGCAAACTGGGAACAGTAGCTGGCGGGGCCGGGGGTCAAGCCCACTCTCATAACTACCACCCTGCACTGCTTCCACAGTGACTCCCAACCCTGTGGTGACTGGGGAGCTTTGTGCCATGTGATGAGATACCACGAGGAACAGGCCAAAGCCCCTGCCCTCAAGGGAGTTAAAGCCTAGTGGGAGAGACAGACAAGGAAATGGGCAGTGTCACCAGTAAATGAAGTGCTTCAACAGGATGAGCTCTAGGGTTTAAGGGACCCATGGTTGGTGGTTGGGGGAGGGAAACTCACACCCCTGCTGAGCACCGTTACCACACAGCTGCTGGTGAGGCTGACGAAAGAACCAGAAGCCTCCTAAGCAGCAAGCTTAACTTGAGGGCTGGGAGGGGCCATTTCTAGAGATGCGCATCAGACCCATTTCTCACTTCCTGGGTCCTAACATTTATTTCCTTCCGCCATCCTACACTCCATGACAGGGCTTAAGGTTTTGCTCTTGTCCCCTCGACCCTCTTCGTTTCTCTCACTTGTAAGGTCCCCAGGTGAGAATTTAGCGAGATTGCCCTCCCACAGACATTACCTAATTTAGGAAACAGTCACCGATGCAGGTAATGGCATGAGAACACAGCCAGTGTCTCATCATCCAGATTTGCTCAGAACTTCAGAATGGAAATACCTACCAACCTCAACACCACGACTATCATTTCTCTCCCCCTGGTCATGAGCTCCACTGAACACCTGTGCCAGGTAGATTTGGTTCTGTAGAGTTCAGTGACTTTGCTTTATGAGGTCCCTCGCACCCTTTGCACCTTCAAAGCAAAATATTTAAGTCATGAGAAATCTTTTTTTTTTCCCAGTAGATTTTTGTACGTGTGTGTATGTGTCCCAAGCACATAGCGACATATCGTGGTGAGGAGAGTGATGGCGAAACTCCGTGGGTAATGGAGAGGCTCCATGGGTAGTAGAGAATCTCCACAGGTGATAGAGAATCTCAGTGGGTGGTGGAGAGATCTCCATGGGTGATAGAGAAGCTCCATGGGTGATGGAGAATCCCCATGGGTGTAGAGAAGCTCCATGGGTAGTGGAGAAGCTCCATGGGTGATGGAGAAGCTCCATGGGTCGTAGATAATCTCCATGGGTGATGGAGAAGCTCCATGGGTCGTAGATAATCTCCATGGGTGATAGAGAAGCTCCATGGATGATGGAGAAGCTCCATGGGTCGTAGATAATCTCCATGGGTGATAGAGAAGCTCCATGGGTAGTGGAGAAGCTCCATGGGTGATGGAGAAGCTCCATGGGTAGTAGATAATCTCCATGGGTGATGGAGAAGCTCCATGGGTAGTGGAGAAGCTCCATGGGTGATGGAGAAGCTCCATGGGTGACAGAGAAGCTCCATGGGTGATGGAGAACCCCCATGGGTGATGGAGAAGCTCCATGGGTAGTGGAGAAGCTCCATGGGTGATAGAGAAGCTCCATGGATGATGGAGAAGCTCCATGGGTGATGGAGAACCCCCATGGGTGATGGAGAAGCTCCCCAGATGAACAATCTGAAGCACAAAGCTCAACTCTCCATTATTCATGAAACATGAGAAAAGGGAGACTGGTCAGAACCATGATGCTCCCCGCCCAGTATTATTGCTCTGATCATGATATCAGGAAGGATTTATTTTCATGTTTTATTATGGAAACTTGTAAACATGTGGAAAAGTAGAAGGAATGGAACAACAAACCTTTGTGGACCCTCATCCAGACTCAGCAATCGTCTATACAAGACTGATCTCATTTTTATCTGTGTCCCCACCTATTTTTTCACCGTTTGTTTTAAAGCAAATCCAAGACTGTATCATTTCACTGTAAATAGTTAGGTGTGTATCTCTCTAAGAGAAACTGACCCCTTGGTCTTAACATTACCACAATGCCTTAACAAATTAGCAGTTATCTCTTAATATCATCAAATGTCGTGCAAGTGTTCAAATTTATGGTAGTTCCATAAATGCCTTTTTAAAATCGTTATTCAAAATCAGAATCCAAACAGGGCCCACACATCACAGTCGATCACCTTGTCTTTTAAGCGCCTCGTAATCTACGGGTTCCTTTTACGTCCTCCCCACCCACCCACCCCAACCCCTTGCCATTTACTTAATGAAGAAATTGGATCCTTTGTGCTGGAGAGATTCCATTGTCTGGATTTTTCTGACTGCAACGCTGTGGTGCTATTTAACGTGTCCGTCTACCATCTGCATTTCCTATAAACTGGTCATTTGACTTAGGTGTTTAATCAGATTTAAGTTTGATTTTTGTGGGCAAAATTACTTCCTAGACTGTGCTGTGCTGTCTTGTCAGAAGGCACATGATGTCTAGTTGTCTCTCTTTGTGGTTTTAGCAGCTATTGATGCTTATTGCTTAAATCCATTAGTTAATTAGGGGTTACAAAATGCTGTTCTAATTCTATCGTTCTTTCTTCATTTATTAACTGAAATACAAATAATCAAATGCATCTACCATTTGATTATCTAGTCATACAGTTCACATAGGAAAGATGGAATATGTGTTGGATGCATTCCCTTTATTTGCCAATTTAAAAAATAATGAATGGTTTACTGTCATCATCCAGTGGTGACCAATGAGGGGTTTTGTGTGTGTCTGTCTTTTCGTATCCTTGTAAACCTGTGGGTTTAAACATATTTGATGTGTTTTATCCATTTTGTTTATTATTTTTATCAATGCTTGGGTTGTGCCATCTCTGCCCTGTTGGCTCCTTCTGACATGACCCTACTAGTCTTTTATGTCATTCAAACACCAAGGAAACTAAGATGATCCAGGCCAGTCCCCAGACCTGGCATCAGCTAGTTCTCTAAGAATCGCTGGTTCCTCTTAGGGGGAAATGGTTTTTAGAGACCATAATTTGGGCACTTAGAGGCACTCATTGTTCCTGGGTTGGTCATCATTTTTAGGCCTTTCCAGTGGCCAGAGCTAGGAAATAGGTAGTTGTTATTTCTGATAAAAATACATCACGAGTACATACTGATACTTTCCATTCAAACTCAAAACTACAGGGGATTCTATTTAACTTCTTTCTTATGTCTGTGTCACCTTTCTCTATGCTGAGAACCCTGGTTCTCAAGGACGCCGTAGATGATAGCATTAGTACTTCACGTTATTTGCTTTATCCTGCATCACCACAGAGCAGTCTCAAAATCGCAGTGCCACCTAACAGCAGTGATGTGGTTATTGCCTGGTTCTTTAATAGCTGCATAGTACTCCATTGTGTGGAAGTACTATGGTTTAGTCAACCAGTCCTCTCTTCCTGACATTTATGTTATTACTAAGTCATGGAATATTTGATGGGAAAACTTGGGAAGTCAGCACATTGTGCCGTGACATGTTTCTGGATACACAGCCTTCATTAGCACAGTTCTCTGCCATTTTTCAGGTACATACTTCCAAATATATTGTATCACCTTACTGAGGATACCCAAAGCATCTCTAACCTCCTCAGTGTCTGTTAGGACTGGGATTCTCTGAATTCTAATAAAGTACTCTTCCTAAACCAATTTCTTTTCAGCTTGTCCCCTTTTGTTTCTTAAGTGTGTTTTCATCATAAATATACAGAGTGCTTCTCACTAGCCCTCTGACCTTGGGCAAGTTACTTCAACTCCCTGAGTCTTCTTTTCCTCATCTGTAGAACACAGATACAACGGTACCTATACTGTAGAAAGGGAATTAAGTGAAATGAAGCATGTCAACAACTAACAGTGTCTGGCTCACAGTAAGATAAGATATTTATGATATTATTTCCTTAATGTCATCAATACTCTTTTCTTATACTTTTATGTTTAGGAAGTTTGGTGAAAGAATTCAAATAATTGCATATAACCTTAGTACCCAGAGATAACGCCTATTCTAGTGTTTTGTTTCTCTCAACTTATGTGTAAAGAGTGTTTATGCAAATAGGGTGATTCTGTAGCCTGCCTTTTACCCTAAACTAAGAGTTCATTTAAAAGGCTAAATTTCTTCTGTAAAGGGCCAGATAGTTTAAATTTTGACGTTTGTGGGTCATGTGATCTACGTCACTACTACTCAATTCTGCCATATAAAAACAGCTACACCGGGCTTCCCTGGTGGCGCAGTGGTTGAGAGTCCGCCTGCCGATGCAGGGGACACAGGTTCGTGCCCCGGTCCGGGAAGATCCCACATGCCGTGAGGCGGCTGGGCCCGTGAGCCGTGGCCGCTGAGCCTGCGCGTCCGGAGCCTGTGCTCCGCAACGGGAGAGGCCGCAACAGTGAGAGGCCCGCGTACCGCAAAAAAAAAAAAAAACAGCTACACCGTAACAGTGTAACAATGTAAAATACATAAATAAGTGGGCATGGTTGTGTTGAAAAACTTTATTTATGGACCCTGAAAGCTCAATTTCTTATCATTGTTCATGAAATATTATTCTTCTTTTGATTTTTTTTCAGCCACTTAAAAATAGATAAACCATTCTTAGTTCACATAACAAAGAAATAGACAGAGTTTGAGACCCCTGTGCTGAACAATATATCATGAAAATCACTGAAACACTTCAACAAATCAGAAAGATAGAAGATAGAGAGACTTGGGAGTGGTTAATCTTTCATTTATATGGGAGAGTAGGTTAGAGTAGACCATGTTGGTGCAGTAACAGCAGCCCACCAACC